CGCTTACAAAGCCCCTTCCCCGATATAACAATTCGCTTGAGAACACCGAAAAGAGAAACAGCTTTTCTCAACGCTTTAATAGTACAACTGGCATCGAGGGATAGAGTATGCTCTTAAAGGACATACTTGATAACATAATCAATCATTACTGACGCGTATTTCTTTTCTGTCGCTTTTGCCACTTAATGTCCCAGTCATATCTATGTGAATAGTATGCCAATAAAATGTATGCAAATCCGTAGGAGAATTTACATGGCCAAAATAGCAATAACCCCACTGAATAAAATTTGGAGAGATAGGAAAATTATTAATGGAACAAAAATGCATCTGATACGAACGCTTGCCTTCTCTATATTTCTATCTATCTAGCTATCCGATTCTGTATAGTGCAAAGACGTGGACTATGAAAGTCGTTGACAGGCAAAGAATTGATGCCTTAGGAATGTGGTGATGACGAAGTATGTTACGCATACCTCAAAATATGGTCAGCGCTTATCTAATATCTATTTGCAGCACATACTGGCGTTGATTGGTCAGTTCCCTGACAGAACTACGGACAGCTTTAAACGTCCGCTAGTGATTGAAAAAGTGGACGGTAACCGAACTAGAGGACTAAATCCCAAAAGGTGACTGGACCAAATCCCAGAACACCTAAAAATACCTGCCTGCGTTGCACTCCATCAAGAAACTAAACGTGTCTATCTCAGTATGGATATGGTTGATTTAAGTCCATACAAGGGACTGATGGACGATAGGTTACCAACGACTAACTTTGTTTCGCTCAATTTTTTTTTCGATATAGCATATTGTTTCTAACATCGTAGGTGTGACTAATTGAATCGGGAAACTTATTATTTAAGAGCTGAGCAACAATATCTTGAACATATGCATCACGTTTTTGTTCTACCGCTAACCACCCTTGATTTACCTCTACAAACTGCACAGACTTATTAACTACTTGAGCCCCGCCTTCGTCGCTCTTGGAAGTGCCCTGCTCAGGGTCATCCATGTACTCTCGGTGTTAATTTTTTTTTTTTTTTTTTTTTAACTAAGAAGCTTTGAAAGGATTGCCACCCGTGAAAACAATAAAATGATGACCATATAGCTTTTGCTTCAAATATTCTTCCGCTCGAACGACCGCCGAGGTCTCAAGTTCATAAGAATGATACTTTTATTCCGTGTCAGTTTTCCGGCGACTGAAATATGAAATAACGTGAGGAACTCCGTTCTTTCATTTAATTAAAATGGCACCGTATCCGTTGGCGCTGGCATTCGTGTGTAATTCTATAGGAAGCTCGCGATGAAATATAGTTAGAATAGACTCCGTGGTAAGTATTTGAACTATCCATTTACGGATATTACCGTGGACTTCTGACCGTTTAATTAAACCCTTTAACTTAGTGAGTAGACATAAGGATCGTACTAGGCGGAAATAGTTCGGTATAAAATTTCTAAAACAAAAGGCTTACTATAAGAATTGGTGTTAATCTCCCTAGAGTCAGCATACATTATGTCAGAGTTGTCATTCGGTTTTTTTTTTACAATTAGAATGGGGCTTGATAAAGTGTAAAATGATTGTTTCAAAGAGGGCATCCATTTTTTTTTTATCGAACAACCTCTTATAATTTGTAAGGTCTCTCTTAGACTATGTTAGGGTCTAAAGAATTAGGGTCTAAAGAGTTAAGAGGTGCCCTTAATAATAAAATGAGTTATACTTCTTAAAAACATCGATAAGGGCTTTGTTATCGTCGCCTTCCAAATAAGTTTTGATACAAGAAAAGTTAAGACTGTCTGAGGTTGGGCACTTATCTGTTTTTGTCGTTTCAGGTTTTGAGAAAATAATGTAGTCACTGTTTATCTCTCCTTTAACCCCCCACTCTACAAGGTCCCGTCCAACAACCACGGATTCAAAAATAATATTCTCTCTAATAATATGAAACAAAAGAGACACCGAAACACTTTGAATTATGACCGGGCCTAAAATTTGTGTATTACAATAAGGCTCCGATGCCTTTCAGGGGAACTACTTCATTGCTCAAAGTACACAGAAATTTATTTGAAAAATTTTCAGATACAGACACACATTAGTACTACATGAACAAGTACACCCACTACTAAAAAGAAAAGGAACAGTCTCACCAGATGACGTCGTCAACTCCCCTCGGCTCGGCCCATGGTCACACAGATATCTCCTTCACCGGCGAGCCTCAATTACCGGTACCTTTTACGATCAAGACACGACGAGACGTCCTAACCCTTATATCTGCTTCCGTACGATCCAGATTGAACCGGATCAACTACGTCGTCGAAGTTAGTTGAGAAGTTGACATTATTTTCATCGACAAGTTTCTCATTATTTTTTACAAAGTTTAACATAGATGGATGATCACTACTCTCCTCATTTTAAAGCCCTTTCGATCCCACTTCTGATGTAGGAGGACGTTGTAAGAACAGGAGGGCCTTCATGGGAACTCATACTTTGAAAGGGATAAAGTACAGTCTATTCAATACGACACCAACTCAATCGAAACACTAGATATAACTATCACTTCGATACACAGCGATTCGTCACGAGCGCGGTGCGCGGGCGTCATCTCGCACGATACTGTCAAGATGACCGCCCCACTACCATCACAATGACGCTTCACTAGGCTAACCTCAGACAGCTAAAAGTCAACCTGACGTATGATTTTTGACGGATGCGCCGTCATATAAGTTAAAAGATAAATAATGCAATTTCAGCCAATCAAAACTATTAAACAATACAATACGTTGTGTTCATATTGTAAATAATGAGTTATGCTTACTGAATTTGTCTTGAACAGGTGAGCAGCGTATCTGAGCCGTAATGTGCTGCCTTGTCCCAGCTCGTCCCACTCAGCGCTGCCACTGGCCAGCCTTCACTAACTTCTCCAGCGCTTCACTTTCTGAATCTGATTCTTTTGTTTCTTGTTGCATCTCTTCCCCCTCCTCTTCATAGTCAGCTCATATACCTGGAATATTTAGAATAATATGTCACATCAACTAGCCTTCGTACAAACAATTTGATCCGAACTATACCAACTATCTTTGTATATAAATCGTGTTAGTTACACTATTTATATGTCAAGAACGGCTGTACGGTTTGGCTGAAAATTTGTGGAGAGATAACTTAGAACAAGGGAAAGGACGTAGGATAGTTTTCATCTGATCGAAAAAGAAATAAATTGATAAAATACAAAATGCTCTTATTTACTGTCTTTAAGGTTGAATAGTTTTAGTCCGGTCAGCTATACATTTCTAATTCTGACACTAACGCAAACGAAGTCGCCGACAGGAACTAGTATTTAAATAAACATATAGAGTGTTCTATATTTTACAATATATTACTTATACAAACTATCAATGAATCACCTTCGGCATTATCTTCATCCATTCCATCGACAAGTGCCGCCCGAAGCTGTTCACCCACATCGCTCTTACCGATGGAAGCAAAACTGTAACAAATACGTATACATAAGGTTTACAAATTAAATATTTAAAAGGATTTTAAAACTATTTATTCAAAAGAAAATTATTGTATGTTAATAAAAAAAAGTGTCTATTTGCAAGTTACCAATACTTAAAAACCAGTATATTTAGGTTTTATCTATCTATCTGTTTATCTGTCAGTTTATGCTGAAAATTCCAAGAGGGTATACCTATTTTAATAATGTTGAATTACCAGGCAACTTTGATACAAGGAACAATTAAGATTTTTATGACTCTCATAAACCGTACAATAACACTACAAGTGCATTTGTGTGTCATAGTATTCAGTGAGCCAGCAGGATTTCATTGTGAATCATGAATAAAACAACCGGTCATGTTAGATAACATAGTGTCAGTGTTCATCTCACGTGTCAGCATCCTCCTGTTGCTGCCCGTCAGCTGGTCCCTGGCCAGTCGCGCCGCCCAGCAGCACATGTACTGCCTCCCACCACTCACCCCTAAAAACAAACATTCCACTTGATATCCAGTTCATACTGATTCATATAAAGATACTAGCTGCGCCCCGCGGTGTTACCCGCGGATTTCCGGGATTGGAAGATGTAAAGTAGCCTATGTATTATTCCTGGATGTCAGCTTCCTGTATACAAAATTTTATCAAAATCGGTTCAGCCGTTTGAGCGTGAAGAAGTAACAAACATACACTCAAAAACTTTCGCAATTATAATATTAGTAGGATGTATCTAAGATTATCGCGTGTATTCAGTTAACATCTCGCCTGCCCATGATCACGGTTGCTGTAATGCAGTGGTTCCCAAAGTGGTCCAGGTGGACCCCCAGGGGTCCACGGGAGACTTGCTGGGGGTCTACGTAGGCGTGAACAAAAAATGTTGGTCCACGAAAATTTATCTGCTTTTGATAGTAAAGAGCAAAAATGTAAGCATAGTTTTTATAAGGGCCCACCTACATTGTTTTAAGTACCTAATTAAGCAGATAATATTTTATTAAGGCAAGCGACTGTTACTTGTCCAAACTTGCGTATTCGATATTACGTACAATTTCGTGTACAGACTTGCAAAGCGCTATCCGCCCGACAATGCTTAAAGCTTGTTCAGACATGAACTTGATCACCACTATAAATACTTGATGCCAAAGGCAAACTCATTCATTTGTTTCCAAAATTTGGAAAAAAAGGTGTGAGAAAATTTATATCAGTGTTTGCTAGTGCCGGAGAAAAGTAAGTACCTACCTTTTTTTGTTATAGAACTTAAGTATTTTGTTTATGTGTACTAGTCGGTTGGTCACAACGGTTTGAATAGATAGGTACACTGATAGAAGGATTTCTTAGCATTTAAGAAGATTTCTTTGTATTTAAGAAATCGTTTCTTAAACATCATTTCTTAGTATTAACAACATATTTCTTAGTATTTAAGAAATATTTCTTAGTATATAATATTTTTTAGTATTTGTGTATAACCTACAGTCAACATTTAAGTGCCCTGCATGATGACTTCAAAACCAGGTTTGAAGATATGCTGACGATGGATATACCACCATGGATCATAAATCTATTTGATGAAATGGAAGTGGCCAATGTTGTGTTACAAGAGGAGCTGCTCGAGCTAAGCACTAATGAGGAGCTGAAGGTGAAATTTAGAAAAGGCTACCAAACATTTTGGCTGCAAGCAGAAATACCCGAAAAATATCCTGGACTGTGGGAAATCGCAAGGAAATTTCTAATAGCTTTTCCCTCGTCATACCTTGTCGAAAGAAGTTTTAGTGCCGATGCAAACCTCTTAACAAAAAAAAGGAGCAAATTAAACATCACAGAGCGGGGGGATTTGCGGTTATTTCTCACAAAAATATCCAAACATTGATCGTTTGCTGACACTCCATCAGATACATCCTTCCCATTAATTAAAATTATGACCTGAACCTATATTACCTTAATAATTTTTTCTTGTAATTCTATTCTTTTAATAAATAAAGTGTTATAAAATGTACCATTTTTCGTTTTTATTTTACCTATCGGAATATAGAGACAGAACTCAGAAGTGACACAATTTTAATTTTTTGGTGACTTTAAGAATGTGGTAGAAATGTAGCAGCAGGGGGTCCACCGAAACCAGTAAAATTTTGAAAGTGGTCCACGAGAAAAATAAGTTTGGGGACTACTGCTGTAATGTAACCGAAACGTAACGAAAATATTATATAATGCGTAAATATTAGCGTCCGTAAATATTAGCTTCATTTAAATGAATACTCGCGAGAATCTTAGATCTCATTATAATTTATCTAAAAATTTATTTTTTAATTATTTTTTTAATTTTGCTCATATCCAGAACATTTGTCAATAATAATACTTAACTAATAGGATTCTTAGCCAGCATTCTATGAATTTGATATACAGGGTGACTGGTGAATTACTAACGATATTTGAGGACGTGATATTTGACGATCATATATGACAAAATAAAAATTAATATAACATAAATATTAATAAACTTCTAAGTAAAGTTAACCAAAAGTTATTTAATTAATTACGCATCGTATGAACACCCTACAGATTAGGTATACACACACACACACAGACGCGGCGGCGGCGTAGTGTTGTATCAGCACGCCGCCGCACGCGTCCACACTTGAACACTTGGAACGTGTACACGCTTTATTTATTTAAACGGAAATTTGGTCAAAAATTAAGTACCTATTTTTTTTACATAATTCGAATGAGAATCATGTACCGAGTATGCTCCTTAAATATTGATAGTAATTCACCAGTCACCCTGTATATTATATACATGAAATAAAATAAAATTCATACCATAACACATAATTTGACATATTCCCGTCATTTTTGTGTATATTTTTATGGAATAAGAAATAATAATTTCAGATATGAATTAAATATACCTAGTAGCTTTTGTACACGTCTTCGTCCACATATACTTACGAATTGTTTTAAAGTGAAACAAATGTGTACTTAATGTTAATGCAACCAACCACTAGCGACATCTATCGTGTGTGTCTGGGACTTCATATAAAAAATAACAGTAGGCGTGTTTCCGCGTAAAACACATGACTCAGGCGAATAGTCACTGCTCATTTTGACAAATTTTCCGTTTCCAACGGTTCCATAAAAATTTGTGCTCTAAACTTGTCGCCATTATTGGACACTGAATCTAATTAATACTGCCATCTGTTAGAATGTTGTGTAACCTACAATCGGTTATCAATTGTTTAAATGATAGTGACAAAATAATAAACAAACTAGAAAAAAAAATATTAATAAAATAACATTTCTATTACAAAATTAAGATTCAAAGAAACCTATTTTTCAAGGAGGACGAAAAGCGCACGCAGGTTAAAAATTGTATTAATGATGGTTAAGTAGTTTAGGAGTTCATGGCACACAAACAATATACAGTGACTGGTGAATTACTATCGATACTTGAGGACGTGATATTTGACGATCATATATGATAAAATAAAAATTAATAGAACATAAATATTAATAAACTTCTAAGTAAAGTTAACCAAAAGTTATGTAATTAATTACGCATCGTGTGAACACCCTACAGATTAGGTATACACACACACACACGTGCGTTGGCGTGGTGTTGTATCAGCACGCCGCCGCACGCGTCCACACTTGGAACACTTGGAACGTGTCAACACTTTATTTATTTATACGGAAATTTGGTAAAAAATTAAGTACCTATTTTTTTTACATAATTCGAATGAGAATCATGTACCGAGTATGCTCCTTAAATATTGATAGTAATTCACCAGTCACCCTGTATATATATATGACGATTATCAATACCGGTGAGCGTGTGAGGCGGCTCGTTGTAACAGCGGCGGTAAATGAGGCGGGACAGACTCAGAGCTCTCCGGGAGATACTCGCGGGACACTCGAGACGCCTCCTCGTACAACTCTGAACATGAAAAAAATATTATTTAATCACACTAAACTACATTCAAAAATATTAAAACCAAAATGTGATGATGATACACAGCTTTCTTGAGTATTGTTTAAATTTAACAAACGATATCGCTGCTGTCAGTTATCCATCTTATAAATTTATTGATCTCTATCTTGTCGAAAAAAGTGTCATGTATGTTAATACTTAATAGACGAAGGTAACAAGCTATCACCATTTTATAAAAACTATCGTTCTTAACAAAGCATTTTGATATTCTTCAAAAGGAATTCTTCAGAGATACAAGAAAGTAATTTCCAAACGAACCCAAGTGTTTGTAATGCTGCACCACTTCTCTTATCATGAGAGCTTCAGACTGTGCCAGGTCCCCGCGCTCGACCAACACCTCCTCCGTCTATACACGTCACATAAAACTACACTTACTACACTACTTAAATCATTAGTATAGCCAATGTAAGCAGAACTCAAAAAAAATTAACGACAAAAACTCTCCTATTATCAACTAATTATCAAATCTTATTGTTTAAGAGTTTTATAAAGTAAATCAGAATAAAGTATATCAACATTGAAACTAAAATTACTTCACTTATCAAACAAAATATCTCACCATATGCGTGGCATGCTGTTCGGCCAAGGCCAAGCTCTTTGGTGATTCCTTTTAGACAGCCACATCCGGATCGCATCCTCAGCCGCCGAAGCTCTAAGGAAAGCCGCCTCAGCCTCCTCCGGGTTCTCTTCAGCCAGAACCGCTGCTTCATGCCTAGCTACTTCTCACTTCGTGATCCCACCACCCATCTCACTCAACTCGATTGCAATATCCCATCTAAATACATATTTGAATCTGACTGTTATTGTGACATAATAAGTAAGGCCAATATGACATTGAAAAGTACAAATTTGCAATATTTCTAAAGAGATCCTGTATCCGGAGGTAATGCATTAGCATTGATAATCGATTTCTTAACTGAATTCGCTGTAATTGACGAGTTCCGTAAAGTTTGTTTGTTTTCCATAGAATAGAGGCAGTTAGTTGGTGGTAGGTTAATGTTTGTGAATCCCTACCTGTGCGCCTGGAGGCCCCGCCTCGCCCCGCTTGCTGCCAGTCCCCGGGCGGTCAATGACCCCGCCCACTGAACAGCAACTTGCTGCTGTACTGTAACCGGAGCGTGGGCCAGAGCCACCACCCACTGACCACTCGTGTCATACATCTGGATGGCACTTTTCCACTCACCTGGACGATATATATACATACATATAAAATTATTTCATGAATATAATAATGGAAACAATATACCATACAACATCATGTCTACAATATATTTATTTTATATTTATTCACATGCATAATTTAACGGACCTAGAGGGTAATGGCTTTTTTTAAAATGCGCTCGCTAATTTTAAAGTGCGTTGTGCTAATAGAGCTCACGGTTCCTTCGGAAACCAAAATTTCGAAAGACCATGTGATCAAGGTCAACAAGTGTTACAAGCTCACTAACGAACTCACTAAGAATAGGTTCGTTGTTAATTTATACGCTATAGAAGTGGGAGGACAGGTATGACAACCAAATCTCTCTACAACCTACTAAAAGACTTGAGCCTGTCCAGAACTAATATCAGGTCATCGGAACGTGCGTCGTAGGCAGCCCTTGTAGGTTCGTTTCAATTTTGGTTAGGTTTTGAGAGGAGCTTAGAGCATTTAACGCGCGTTAGATAGGGGTCTCTTGAAGCTCCCTGCAACGCGATAGACCTAATGGCCACACAGCGAATCTATGGAACACTAAGAAGTTTGTTTTCATATCAATAGACGCATCGTTTTCCCTAGTGGCTCTCACCGGCTTGTATGTAGTAGGTCTCAGCTCCCCCGCGGCTCGGAGGTCGCTGGCCGCCACCAACCGCAGCATCGACTCATACTGACACGCTTCCTGAACGATATTTAACAGCGATTTAGGAAAACCATATATTTGTTATATGCATATAAATAAACAATGTATATTACAATATTTTAGAGTATTACCTTATACATAGACATAGCTTCACCTGTATCTCCTAGTCTTATATAAATTTGTTCAGCCTTTCTAAAGTGCCCTTCCTGTCGTAATTGTTGAGCGAGTGGTCAGTAAATATCTCTCGTGTCTTCTTCTGCCAGATGTGTAGCGGCAACACGTAGACCTTCCGACACTTTGCCCGCGGCGTTGTACGCTCTTACACATTTCTCCGCCATACCACAGGATATGAGAACTCGTTCCGCTGTATCCCATTCCTGTAAATGTTTGCAAAAAAGTTATTAATTGACATATGAAACCTACTAGAATAAAATAAAAATCGACCCAAACTTTGAATTCTAAAAAATTAATAAATTGATCGTGACGTTAAATCCGTGTATTAAAGAGGAAATGAATAATTGAAAACATATTCGTTTACACCCTCATTGGATGTTTACATTTATATTTTTGTAGCTATACACAATAACTAATACGGAATGAACAAAATCGAATTACGTTAATAACAATTATAAAAAAATAATAACAACATATTACTTTTGTTCATTATTTAATATGAGAAGATATAAAATGATCCCCCAACTGTTCACATTGCTCCCGAATAGATTCTTTACTTCTATAACATAAAGATGTAGCAAATATCTTATCTTATATCTTTAAATGAGCAATTCTTGTATATATATTTATATATTATGGGAATCTCGGTATCGGCTCAAACGATGGCGATAAATCGATCTAGCTAGGAATCATTATCATCATTAATCATTTAGAAAATGTTATTTTACATAAAAAAAGAATAACAAAAATTAGTCGTTTAAAATATGACTCTCCCTGATATCTAGTGGCGAATACTAATACTACTTTTTGCTACTTGCTTTTACTAATTGCTTTACACACAACAGCAGATGGCGTTATTGAGTACCAGGAAGTCAA